ACAATTGGTTGTGTTTGAGTGCAAGTCCGCAGAGTTTCACAGATTGCGGTTCACTGTCGCCGATGCCATCACTCGTATGAATCAACTGCAACACTGACACCAAGACTTGTCTCATATTCTGTACTCAAGACTTGTCTCATATTCTGTACTCAAGACTTGTCTCATATTCTGTACTCAAGACTTGTCTCATATTCTGTACTCAAGACTTGTCTCATATTCTGTAGTCATTCTGTTGTTCTGTATTTTGAAAGTTTTATTTATAAATAAATGTTTAATTTATTAAATTTATAACATTTTCATTTTGATGCACAACTATATTTATAAATATTCTAAATGAGCATGTTCATTTTCAGTATTATCCTACAGTAAGTATAGGAAAATGCAATTCTATTTGCACAGAGCATTGGGGAATATCAATTTGAGACCATAGTATGGTGTGTGACATGCAAATTGGGAATCATTACAATGTATTGTATGACAACATGGGGTCACAAATATTTCTTTAACAAAGCATTTCTCAAAGAACTCTTTGACTGCAGTATTAAAGCCATGACCTCTGTGAGCGTGTCTTATGTCTCATCATAATTATGTTTAAATCGCAAACCAAATGATCCGAGGTTCTCAGTATTTGTGGGTAAATGAAAGCATTTTAAATTATCATTACTTTCGTTAGTTTAGTCATTACATCATAATTGAGTGCTTTATACCAATGAATATATAAAATAGAGACAACAAGTCAGAAGATTTCAAAGTGACGGGTACTGTGACTGCAATCTTAGCTGAAATCCTCCCTGAGCTTATTTATGGGTTCGTTGGTTATCCCGATAGTATACATAAGTTGCTAAAAGTTTTGTCGAGTGAAATGAATTTATCAGAAATGATTACTTTATTCATGAGAAAAGTAAATAAAATGATGAGTGAATGCAATGACACCATAAATACAGGTATTAGCTCACAATTAGTCAAGATATCACATAAAATATTTGAATAATACTGTACTTTGTATTACTATTATTAACTAACATTTAAAAACACTATTATTGCTATCCTAAAATCACAATGTTTCATTATAAAATAGTGTCGAAACATGAAATATTATTAAATATCTAGGAATCTAAATCAAGATCCACAAGTGCCAGTTTATTATCTTTTTTAAATACAATACAATAAGTTTATTAAATCTGTTTAAAATTGTCAATTTTAGTTTGTTCTGTTTTAGAATTTTATTATTAAATTAAAAAATTCTTAGCAATCAAAACCAACTGATAGTGATAGCCAGTGATAGGAATTACAAATAATTTGGATTTATTGTATAAGATATTTATTTTATATTCTTTTATTTAATAATTGTGTATATTTCAAATATTTACTAAATTAATGGCAGTTAAATCATAATTATAATAATTACAATAATTAAATGTTGAAATTAAATATATAAATGTTGACAAAAATAATTAATCGTGTTTTTAATTGAGGTGTGATTATAAATCTGATTAATCCGATACTGATATACTGTAGTTGTTGATTAATATATTTTCAAAAGTCTCCCATATTCTTAATATCCCTAATTTAATCTGTTTATGACGAGTGCATTAAGCAGTGCTGGCAAATAGACTTATTCTGCTTAATCTGATTACATAATAGGTTTNGTTAGCTTTAATATACCGTATATGAAATGAGAATTGTGAAAGTTATAATAGATTAAGTATAACTTACTAGGTTACTTTTGTATTATTTTAAAAAATAATGAAATAGTTTGTATAAAGTTTAAATAATTAAACGATTCAAAATATACAAGAATAAGTCAATGATACGGTGCTAGTAAACCTTACTGTAGTGTACCGTATAAGCTTTGTAGTAAATAGCTTTGTACATTATTGTAAATTTATAAACTGTAAGAATAATGAAACCAGAATTGGCATCACTTTGAGAGCAATTCATAAAATGCATGACAAACTCACTTACATTGAGTGCCCCAGCAATGAATGAATGGCATTCTGTGAGCAAAACTGACGTTATGTTAAAGAATCGTATGGTTTGGAGAGAGAGAGCCCTCACATGTGATACACTGTTCACTGTTGTGATGGGAATAATAATGTGGTAAACATGTGATTCAATTGTATGTTGTCTACAAATTCAGTGAATTGACACTTCAATCACAGTCACAGTCACTTCATTCACTGTATCCCTGTTCAATTACTTCGCAATTAACTCGATTATTATGTAAACTTATGCTATATTCATTAAAAGTTAAACTGAGCATGCTATTTTGTCAAGAATTGATTGTGATGGTGAGTAAGTAGAAAGTGACATGGTTGTTTGTGCTTTCACAATGCATTAACAATATGTTAACCTAATTATAATTAAATAATACACTAATAGATGAACTAATTTACAAAGATTTGTATAATTTGGTGATAATATAGTGATAATTGTAATACTGGTTAGCATTGAATGAATAACAACTGAATGTATGAATGAGTGGTAGATTGCTGTGAATGACAACCAATGGACCACTAATTGCTTTGAAGTGAGTATTGATTTGATGTTAAACTCTAGACTTGACTTAAATCTGATTTCATATCTATTGAGAGATAAGAGGGTTTGGCTTTAATTTCTTAAGATGTCTTAATTATCAGTATTTTGACTGTATTTGCACTTAAACATTGGTTTTGCTTTCAAACGTGATTTGTTTGACAAGAATTGAATGATAATTAATTGTTTGCAATGTTTGGTCAATAGGTTTGTCAAATCATAGCTAATAATACGAAATGAAGAGATAATTGACAGCAAGTTCTCGTATTGGCAGTGGTTTTCAGTATTAATTGTATTGTGATTTGGGATCAATTACAATGAAACCATTTGTAAGTTTATTGGCGTTGAGTTCAATCTATTTAAGCGTCGATTGCAATGAAGTATCAATTGATCCGAAAGTGACGCTCAACTCATTAGAAGACGTGGAAGTATTGACTTATTTTCTTCTTTGGAAATATAATTACTTTCATAACAATAACCAGAGAAGAGAGAGAGAGAGAGAGAGAGATGGTGTGCTCACATAAAAGGCAGGTTTGACTGTTTGAACGATGCATATATTGTTTGAATCAATGATAGAGTGATAGAGTAATGCATTTGAAATCCCATGGAATACATGGAAAGCATAGCATTACTTGCATAGTGTTTCGGAATGTAATGAAATGCCAGTGCATTTGGCACTCGTTCTCTCACTCAGTCATACAATGCATTGCAATGTAGTGTAGAGTAGTGTGGAGTGAGATTGTGTTCACATTCTCGGCCACACTTTTCCCACGGGCTCTGCAGCCAATGAGACACCAGTAATATGATTGTGGCACTTGTGGCACGCGTACCCATCCAGCGCTCGACATACCAGTGCTTCAGTGATTAGGAGAGCGCAGTAGAGCCTGTGTTGGGTATGTGGAGGTGCTATGGGCTGGCAGTGTGTCTGTCGCTGGCGTGAGAATGCATGGAGTGAAGCAAAAGCAGATGCAATTACGTCTTGATGGCTGGTTGGGTGCATGTGGTGTGTGTGTAGAGCTGGTAGTGCTGGTAGTGCTGCTTATACTGCTGAAACTGTATGTATAGTTATGCTGAACTGAACTACAGGTGTAGATCTCATAGCAATGGATGTGGAAGTCGTGGGAAAGTGAGTGGAGAATCGTTCTCAGGACTAGTGCTGAGTCGCGCGCTTCACTTCACTGCTGACCTCATGCCTACGATTGCTGTGAAAGCATTCAAAGCACTAAACCTCTAAAGCATTCCCACACTCAACAACACTATCTTCCCCCCAAGCCCTCTCTCCCCCCTTAAGAACTATTGATAAAATAGTCACTTGTATAGCACTGGTGTGTGCCGTCCCTTCATGTCTGGCCTCCCTGTGCACGCATGTCGACTAAAAGAGCAAAACTTGTCTCAAATAGTTTAACATCACATTTCATATCTCGTGTCCGTACAGAACAGTCGCACGAACTTTATCTTACGCTTGCATACTATCACTCGATTAGAGTCGAAACTTTTTCAAAGTTTTCAAAGTTTTTATTTGAATCCCAATAATCAAAACTATCGCTACAATGACCGCAACCGTGGCCTCAGTTGTTGACTCGCAGTCAGATGTGCCGCGAAAAACCATTTCTAAGACTTCTGAACACAGAAGAGTAAGTTTCATATAGTTTGCAAACTTTGAAAACTTTTTTGTTAGAACTTTAAACTAACAGTTTTTGTGTTTCAATTGCAATCTTAGGCCACAAAACCAATTATGGAGAAGAAAAGGAGAGCCCGTATTAACAACTCGTTGAATGAGCTCAAAGTCCTCATTCTGGACGCTCTCAACAAAGACCCGTCCCGTCACTCAAAGCTCGAAAAGGCCGACATTCTCGAGATGACTGTCCGACACTTGCAAAGCGTTCAGAGACAACAAATGGCTTCTGCCATCTCGACTGACCCGTCTGTCCTCAACAAATACAGGGCCGGCTTTAACGAGTGCGCCACAGAAGTGGGCCGTTATATCGGTCGCGTCGATGGCGTCGAAAATACTCTTCGGCAACGAATTCTAAACCATTTGAACGCTTGTGTCACAAGTCTTAACACTGCGGCGAATATGGCCTCCAATTCATACGGCAATCAGTCGAGGACTGGTAATGCCTTCCCGGGAATGATGCCTCCCAACAACTCCCCGTTTGGCAACAATACCCCACTTCACGTCCAAATCCCAATCCCCGCGGCAACCGCTGCCGCCATCGCCGCCGGAATTTTCCCCAATTCTGGTCTCAATAACATCGGTTCCCATTCGGGTGACATTAACAACAACATCGCGTCACCACTCATGACCGCTGGACTCACCATTGATAACAAGGCTAACATCCATACGCCCCCTTCATCGGCCTCCTCCACCTCCTCCTCGCACTTTACATTCTCACTGCCACTACACCAGTGCTCTCCCCCTCTCAACCATCACTTACTTCCCTTCCACCACAACCTCAACGTGAATATCAATCAAAACATAACTTCCAGCCAATCAGCCATTGGTTTGAGACACGGATCGACCGGATCGTGGAGTCATAACTCATGCCTGGAGTCACCGTTGGGTCAGAGCTCCATCAGTCCAGTGGGCAGTTCTGTGGGCAGCGAACAGTTGAGTCCATCTGGAAGTGATGCCGACGTAGAGATGGTTTTCGCTGGTCATCACAACTCATTGAATGGTGACAGCGTTTGGAGGCCCTGGTAGTGGTCTTGTCCACAGCCCTCACAATCAAATCCAACTATAGATCTCTATTATGTATATTATTATTATAAAACAGATTCTTATATTAATATATCTATAAATTATAAACACTTATACTCTCTCTGTATTGATCTCTAACTCTAACTGTTATTCGTTTGCAATTATGACGGCTTTCAGAAGGATCTCCGGTTAAGATAACTGTTACGAAGAGTTTTACTAATTGTTCCTCAATTCTGTCAAAGATGAGAGTATAGAGAGTATAAATGTTTAATCTTAGTTATAATCCACTATATTATGTTTTTAACATAATTGGCTTCCTTATTGTGCCTTATTTTTCAAATATGCATTTCCATGCATTTCATTTGTTATTTATTCCCAAAATGCCTTAATTTTATACTATTTTTATACTGCCTTATAAATTGAAATATTTAGCAATACTTTAATCAACTTTTTTTGTAAAATAATTTCAATCCATTTAATGCCCAACGCCTTTCATTGGTTTAGAATTTGGATATAACCAATCATTTTGTATATTATAATTATTATTTATCTCTTTATCAAATGCAATATAAAACAATTATATTTAAATTGTATATAAAAATAATGAACAATTATTTAAAAAATAAATCAATCTCAAAATGATAACAAACGTCTACTTATTTCACTATATTTAACGGGATTTCATTCAATCTTTCGAATCGTGGGAACAATTCAATGGTTTCAAAGAATCCGATCCATACTATTATATGGTTTAGTGTTCTCTATCTTTATAGTCGACAATAATATGATATTATAATTGACAACAATTTCCTCTAATTATCTCAAGTTATGCGATCCGTGACATCAAGAGTCGACTTACTTCAGACTCGCTTATGACAGACTTTAAGCACTTTAGCCTATAATCAGCAAAAGATTCAGCGAAGGCTTCACAACACGTATTAATAATAGCAAAACATGAATGAAACCTATTATATAACTAAAGTGTGGGAACATTGCAGTAGTATTGCAATCATTAGCTCAGGGCTTTAAGCAGAGTCTGTCCAAAGGATAATTGCATTTGAATGTATAGAAAATTATTATATTCTTGATTTGTAAATATGATTGAAATTGTATGCATATTGATATACATTCTGCATTAATGCAGAATGCAAATTGTGTTAAAACTCCTTATAATGAGAAAATGCATAGTTTTGATGAGAGAACAAGTGCTATACAGAGCATCACTTTAGGTTAACTTAAAGGTGAGGTAAAACTTATGGATAATATTGAATAAGAAAAGTTCAACCAATGGTTACAGTAATCTTAGGAAAAAAGTGAATATTTTGGTGCCTTAAGAATTGGAGTACTTTTAGAGTTTGGGAAGGAATGGGAGTTTGGGAAGGAATGGATCAGTGGGTGGTCAGAGACGCGTGGCTTTGCATCTGACAGAAAGCTGTTCACTACAGACACTGCAGACACGGCCACCAATTTATGATAGAAGAAAAGTGAGCCCAACCCTGAGCCGCAAAAAGCAATCTTGTTCTCAGTGCTGCTTCTCATGTCGTGGGAAAGTTACACCCCTTACCGCTCAACCACTCGCACTCCACTCCACCACCACTCTAACAGTCTGTGCTTTCCCTTAGATCTTCAAGTATAGTCATTATCTGCAATTGTTTCGGACATAAGGCTTACAAAACTTAATCATTAAATGCATAAAAGCATTTACAACACTTATAATATTGGCTTTCATTTTAACTCTCTTTTAATCTCTTACTTTACTTACTTTTTTTATTTTTAACTTTGCATTCAAATTAAAAGAAAGTTCAGATTTCAAATAAGTTTAATGATAAATGAAAATTGCATAAATTTATAAATCATAAATATTACAGTAATGTTACTAGATTAGATTATTGTACCATATATAAAATAATTACAGAACTAAACAAAGACTTTATGTAATATGATGTAACTTATTATAAATTGTAAAATATTTATACTTTATAAAAGCAATGTAAAATATATGAACTTAAAATTGTATACTCAATATTTGATTAAATAACTTAAGCATTAGTGTTGCTCTCCATAGAAAAGTGAAAATGTTTTGACTGGTAATATAATACTGTACATCATTTTTGCGTTTATAGTAATACATTTGATTAAGTTAATATTATTTAAGAAACACATAAAATTAGTATAAAATAATACTTATAAGTTATAATTATAACTACAGTATCACCTATTTTATAATTAAAGTACAGTACTATATTACAATAATGAATAATATTATTTAAAAATTAACTAAGTAAAAAACATAAAATAATTTGACTAAATCTTAAATTAAGTCTAAACATTATGTAGTAATATATACAGTAAAATATTTCTCAAGTTGTTTATATTT